TACATTGGGAATTCTGTATTCAACAAAACATCATCAATCATTAGTAATAAAATGAAACTTTCAGAAAACAAAAGAGAAATATCAAAAACTTTGTCTTTTCCCCTATTCCTAAGCTTGAAAAAAATGATTCAGCAACTTTAAATACATTTTACACTTTGAGTAAAACATCACTATATGATACTACCTGTGACCCATCTTGTATGTCAGATAAAAAGTCTCAAAAAAATATTTATGTTTAAATACTTCTGTAAGAAGGCAAAATATTTAATATTTTAATTACAATGTAATGATGATACCAAACTATTCCACCATAACTTAAGCATTCTTCATTCTGATTTTTCAACAACTGTCACAAACTCTATAAAAAGAAGTAAATACAGAAGCTAAAGCTGAAACTGCTAAAATTGCTACAGAAATGGAAATCAGCAGAACACACAACACACTAAGATTTACAGATGCAAACACAACTGGGGGGAAGGGTTAAGTTTTACGTGATTAGTATACCTTGCAAATAGTTTGCGTTGTGAAACTTAGGCCACTGATTTACTAAAAATGACATTTACTTTCAGCTGCTTCTTTCACATTTAAAAATCAATCATGAATTGCTGGTAGGTGTGGTTATTCAAGTTTACTACAAAGGGTTTAAAAGAAATGTGGAATGAAAAAAAATGGTGTTGAAAATTTAGTAAATATTCCTTTTCTTTTACAATAATCTGATACTGCCTCATGCATTAATCATAATTTTTATTATGATTAATGCATGTGGCATATTCATAAAGAATTGAATTCATATTAACAACAAAAATTCTAAATTCCAAAAAAAAATGTTATCTAGGCATGGGCCTAAAGAAAGTCCCAGTTCAAATAAAAACACAAGGTTTAGGTTCTATTCAATTCAGTTAGGTAACTGAGGTCCTATGAAGTAACAATACACCCAACTTAAGAAAATATAAGAAATGTTAAAAGCTTATTTAAGTCACCCTAAAGTATTCTGGTTGATGTAAACTTACTGATAACAAGTGATACTTATTAACACCCAAGATATGCACTGTGCTGTTCCCTGAGGTGTTTTTCCTTCACAAAATACATAAAGGTGTAACTAAATCCATTTCATAACAAAGGTCACCAGTGGAGAAAAATTAAAGAACTGATAAAAAGCAAAATGACATGAGGAGACTTACCACCTATATTATCTTTTTGTGTAATGGGTAAGTCCCTGATTATAAACTATTTAAAGCTATATTTTGTATGTCATTGGAGTTAAATAGGAAATGTAATAATCAATTTAACAGCAAAGGCTTCTGTACTCATTACCAGTATTACCAGAATATTATGTAAGTTTTAGCCAGACATGGATTAGATATGGCTTCATACTTGGATTAGACAATGTGTTTATATACCCCCTTGACCACAATAACCTGGGTGTGAGATAGTGTGCATAAGATCCATATCAACAGTTTTGGCCTTCCAGTTTTACTTTGTACTGGAATATCCTTATTTTTAAGGAAGATATATATATATATAAATATTTCTAAGCACTCTTTGTAAACGTAACAAAATGTGCCACAATCCCTATTCAAAATTTTGAAAAACTAGACAATCAATGATGTCCATTTAAACAAATAGCTTGCCTGCTTATCAACAAAAGTCATTAAACCACCATCTTAACTGGCATAATTCATCTTAAAAGTTTATATACTCTACAAAACACACAATAAATTTCCTTCCTCTAACCTCAACCACTATGTCAAAAATAACTTCTAACTCTTTAACTGCATTTTGTATTTACTTCTTCACATACCTTCCTTCTCCTTACATATTGTCTGGAGTATATCTCATGCTTTTAAACACTGGGAATAAAGGGAAGGATGAAGAATGGTATGCTGACATGCCTGTCAAAACAATTTGGAAAAAAACAGTATACAGGAATGAGAGATCAAGCCTTGCCCTCTTTTGTGCTTTGTTTCAGCATGTACCCCATATGTCATGATGTATGTTCTGCTGCATGAATATCTAACCTTTAATATCTAAATATATATGTGTGTGTGTGTGTGTGTGTGTGTGTGTGTGTGTGTGTGTGTGTGTGTGTGTGTGTGTGTGTGTGTGTGTGTGTGTGTGTGTGTGTGTGTGTGTGTACATATCTATCTATCTATCTATCTATCTATCTATCTATCTATCTATCTATCTATCTATCTATATATCTATATATATATATATATATACAGAAAAGGTATGAATGAGAATGAGTATCTTCACAATACAAGAGATGTATTTGACCAGTTTTGAATTATATCTTCATCAGAAATACATATATATGTGTGTGTGTGTGTGTGTAAATATCTATATCTATATCTATATCTATATCTATATCTATATCTATCTATCTATCTATCTTTGAACACAGTGAAGCAAATCTCATGAAAAAAGGTATTTTCCGGCATCAACAGCAAGATGTTAACGGCAAGTGTCAGGATTGATTATAAAAAAAAGTCAGACCATATAAATATCCAAGATGTAATTGAAAGAAAAAAAAGAAAGAAAAAGAAAAAAAGGACCGGAAGCTACAAAAGGCTCAGCCTGTGATTAAGGGCAGAGACGTTCGGCACTGAATTACCCTCATTTTCTCTCTTCTGCTTCCCGAGCCTCCTAGCTTTTAGGCTCTTCGCTTTCCAGGAATTGGTTCCATTTCTGCAGTCTCTTCTGTTTCTCTTCTTCCGTTTCTTCAATTCTGGGGAGAAAGAGGGGGAAAATAATAATAATAATAAGGTGAATATGGAAGTTAAGGACGAAAATATTAGCTCATCATCAGTAGCCCCAAATGGACGAAAATTATTTACACAAATATGACTAGAGTTCCCCATACATAATTGACATTTTGATATTCCACACTCAAAACTACTTAACCCATTGCCGCCGGGGATGGCATGTACATACATGCCATGCCCACTGTGAGTCGACTTGTTCAATTGTTTTTACACATAGATGACTACACTTGTACTAAGTATCCAATGTGCCAATTACAGTACTGCCTGCCTCGCCCGTTCACCCTTTTCATTGATTTACGAAAATATTTAATGTTATCCTAATTTGCTGTTAAAAATAACATCATCTATATTTATAGCACTAGTAAAAATACGTTTCTTCCCGCCAATTCAAGGAAAGGTAAAATCAGGACTAGCAGAGCCATCTATGGACAGAGATATTTCACAAAAATATAAAAAATGAGTACTGCATTTCCCCCATTTTTTGTTCATTTTCCCCAGTGGCAATGGGTTAATCATGCGGCTATGAGAAAGATGGAATAACAAAACATTAAGCAATTCTGTAGATCAAAAAACAAACATCGAAACTGTCTCTTATGCACTTAAATAAAAGAGAGAGAGAGGAAATAACAACAATACTACTAATGATCATGATAATAACAACAATAATAACAACAAAATAATAATAATAATAATAATAATAATAATAATAATAGTAATAGTAATAGCAATAGTAATAATAATAATAATAATAATAATAATAATAATAATAATAATAGTAATAGTAGTACTACTACTACTACTACTACTAATAATAATAACAATAATAATAACAATAATCATAATAATAATCATAATAATAATAATAATAATAATAATAATAATAATAATAATAAAAGTAATAGTAATAGTAAGAGTAAGAGTAATAATAATAATAAAAATAAAAATAAAAATAATAATAATAATCTTAATAATAATAATAATAATAATAATAATAATAATAATAATAATAATAGTAAAAATAACAATAATAGTAATAAACAACAATAATAATGGCAATAATAATAATAATAATCATAATAATAATAATAATAATAATAATAATTATTATTATTATTATTATAATATTAATAATAATAATAATAATAATAATAATAATAATAATAATAATAATAGTAAAAATAACAATAATAGTAATAAACAACAATAATAATGGCAATAATAATAATAATAATAATCATAATAATAATAATAATAATAATTATTATTATTATTATTATCATAATATTAATAATAATAATAATAATAATAATAATAATAATAATAATAACAACAACATCAACAACAATAACAATAACCACCACCTATACCATAATCTATAATAAAAAAACAATAATAATAATAATACTGACAACAATAAAAACACACTGCTACTACTAATACTAATAATAACAACAATAATAATAACAATAATAATTACAATAATATTAATTGAAAAAAAATAATAATTTAACACATGCGCCCCGGATTTATGTTCTGTCCCTTGTAGTTTTTGGTGAATTTTGTTACATACAGATGGCTCCACATGTGCTCAGCCGACAAGGAGTCTATCAGTAGGCCCTAGTTACCGATCCTGTTTTTCCCATTCATTGAATTGGTGGGAAAATTAATACCATTGCTATTGATACTGTTATTATTGTTATTGGTGTTATGATTATTAAATTGTCATTAGAATATTGTAGACAATTAAATGATACAAAAAAAAACTTTCCTAAAGTGAAGGAAAAGGGTAAACAGGTGAAATATGTAGTTCTTGATAACTGGCTATTTGGTGATTAAGAACTTGTGGAGCCATCTATGTGTAAATACAATAAATAAACATGTATCAAAGTGGGTATGGCATCTATTCTTGCCACATGGGGAAAATGGGTTAAAAAATAATAAAAGTAAAAACACTACCAATAATTACAATGATAATAATAATAATAGTAATATCTATAGTAATGATGATGATGAATCAAGAAATCCAAAAAACAAAACAAAAATCCTACTTGAATTTTGTCCTGCCGTCCCACGTTGAGACCTGCAGTGTGCGCCCTTCATACAGACGGTTGTTCAGTGTCGCTACGCACATGTCGGCTGCCTCCACTTCTTGGAATACCACTTGCACAACGCCATCAGGATGAAGCTAAAAGATGGAGATTGGTAAGATACTTTAGTTAAATATATCTCACTGAA